CTGTAGCATTTTTCGTTTTTCGTTTGGACTGTTTTCATTTTAATTGTTTGCTTAACTATTGCATTTGTTATTAGTATGTACAATATTGTTATAACAATTACATTGCAAATGTGGCGAAAACCTCCAGTCCTTGGCAAATCTTCAGCAGTTTAAGTTTTGTCGGGGAACCAGGGAGATTACTGCACAGATAACCGGTAATATTACCAAGATTAGGGTTTCTAATTTCAACCAGGCCATAGTAAAACAGCACTGGTATAAATAAAATTACTGATACCACTATGCAAATAGAAATAGAACAACGCTTCCAAACCAAACTCATTTGTCGACCAAATGGTCTACATATTTTTAGATACCGTTGTATGGCGATAACACACAGAAGATATAGTGAAATGCTTGTAGATAAATAGCTAAAGTACAGCAACAGTTTACATGGTTCAAATCCCGGAAAAATCACTTGCCTCGTGTTTTAGTAAGAGTAGCTGCTACACTTATTAACAATGCGGCATATCAGTTTAAGCCAGTGGCAATATTAAATATCTTCCATCGGTCTTTTTACTCATGCGAAACTGATAAACAAATATGACTGCTAAATTGCCCGGTACTCCAATCAAAAGAAAAAAATGACAACAGAATAGAGTTTGGTGTTAGATATTCTGTTTTCTGTTCATTCCAATAGAGGATATACGCATGAGCTTTAAAGTCTTCCAAAATATCTGTGAAACTTGTATTAATGTTAAGATTTTTAGACGTGTTGTTGAAGATACAGCTAAAGGCGAAAAGGATGGTTTCTATGCCAAATTGGATTATTTATATTAACATATTTACATTTCATGGAAGTTTCATGTGACTTACAGAAATCTGTATCATGTATTTTATTCTAATAGTTTGAAAGTTCATACGGAAACATATATTTAGATTTGATTTCAAGGATGTAACAAAGGTTATTAGGACAGAATTGTTCCGGGTCCAATATACCTACTTTAGTATGTTTCTAGTATACCTCGACCTATTGTCGAGAATTTCTCCGTTTCTGTAAATAATAGCAATCAAAAGATGTAGGTCAGATGAACGATAGATAATCATATCCCAAAGAAATGAGGAAACCCAAACAACTGATGTTAGGAGCATAGATCTCAACGATGAGTGAATTAGTGATTTGATGTCTAAGGAAACTCACAATTGTTGTCTGAAGTCACAAGGGATGATAGTGAATGACATTTACGTAAAAATGTATTTCTCTCTGTATAAAATATAACGGTTTGATACGTTTTGTAAGTTGAACGTATGATCTTTTAAAGATTAAATCGTGTGTGTGTCTATAGTGCTACAAATTAAACTTTCAAGTTGAACATATCCTCTGTTAAACATAGCTTTAATCTTTGTATGTTTGTAAAATGGATTTTTTATGATGTAATTGCAATTTTATTTTGTGCAATATATATGTTTCCTTAACACTTATTATAGTTACTTAGTATACCAATAAATTTGCAATTGCACAAAGAAACAGTGCGTTCCTTTCTGCAGTCGTTATAGCGCATTAAGTGCCCTTTTAATTAACAACAAATGAAAGCCTTTTTTCAAAGCTATGTAAAGCATTATTCTCTTTCAGAAAAGTATCCAGTGATCAGTTTTGGCTTGCTTTAAAAGATACACAAGCGAATTGATGTTGATGGTTTTAGAGAATATAAAAATAAGGAGATGTAATGTAATAACCAATGAGACAACTATCATACAGCAAAGGACCATGCTGTCAACAGGACTTTAATACAAAGAGGCCAACGAGAATGAAAGAATGACATTGAATGCCCCTGAAATACAAAGGATAATTGACAACTCTGCCTTTGAAACAGACAACCTACAAATTCCTTGCGATGAATTTATGCTAAAGATCATTTTAGTGACAAGAATTTCCCTCAATCTGATCAGAAATGATTATTTCTATATTTTCCGTCTAGTCAAACGGAATCAGCAGTCGGCAGCACTATGAAAATCATTGTGTAAGAAGATTTACAGTTGATTATTTGGCGATTGCTTCTTTTTTCAAGAGGGAAACACACTTTTTTTTTACTCAAGCAAAATGAGTGCTTGAGTTATATATTACGACCCCATCTTCGTTCATTGGCTAATATATATCTTGCACATAGCTATAAAACCTTCTATACTATCAAGTTTAAATCTTTCGAGAGTTATCATCAAAACAGATTAACTAAACCTCAATTCTTTTCAAATCATATGGGAACTACAAATATTCGCCAATCAAACTAAAAGATAATTTAAAGAATTTGTCCTGATTTTTTTCTTAAAAAAGAATAGCACATCGTACTTCGTTAGAAAAATAACACGGTGATTCAAACAAAACATTCTCTAAAACTGACATAATCAACATATTTGTGATGTTTAGAGGACATATTTTTCAATGAACAATCAGCTAACCCATGGGAACCAACTGTGCTCCTTTTCTTTTATTCAGGACTTGATACAGGAGCTTCGAAAGAAGAATAAAAAGAAGCTAGCATTATTCTCTAACATCATGTTTTCTCACTGAATAATTCAAAGTTTGGGCACCATGTTGAACGTATCTATCCCATTGAACTTTAAATAAGGATACAACAAATACAGTAAAGTCTGTCTCATATCTTGACGACTTGCATATAGAAATTGACAATGAGTGTCGATTGATAACATAAACTTATCGACAAAAGACAAAAGAGATGATTGCAGCTTCCCCATTGTGCAATTTTATTTCTGTGTAGTAACATTCCAGCATCGCCTGCTTATGAGTATATGTCTCTCAATTGATACGATACTCCAGAGCTTGTATGTCCTATCATGATTTCCTTGAAAGAGAGTTTCCGATAACAATGAAGCTATGAAACCAAGATTTCTTAGTGGTGAAGTTGAAGTCATCCCTTCGAAAATTTACGGACGCCATCATGAGGTGATTGACCGTTATGAATTATCTGTTTCACAGATGACGACACATATGGTAAAATTGTCGTTACCACAAACTTGTCCTAATTTCATATAAGTACCAATCAAATGAGACTTATCACCGGGTTTGTAACCTCATTAGCAGTGCGAAGGGTGCAACATATGGACTAAGATCTACTTCTCCTTTCAGATGACCTGAGATCACGCCCGGTTTATGTTTGTGTTCGTGTGGCTTAGTCTTTAGATTTCTATTTTGTGTTTTGTCTTATGGTGATTTTTGTTTTTTGCATGGCATTGTCATTTTTTTCGACTTATAACTACACTTGTTTGACAATCCGTTTAGGTTCTTCCCCCATTTTTTTGTTCATGCGAATGTTACAAGTAAAACATCATATTCTGTACGTTTGTGTTATTCCGAAAAAAAATGTATCCTGCCACTATTCACGTCTTACTGGAACTTTCCAAACCTTTAAACGAGAACCAAGCCAGGCCTGAAAGCAAGACCACTCGGCACGACGAAAACTATGATCGCCTATACACACCACATATCAGCTCACAAGGAAGCTATTAAGTCAAGAGTTCCAAATGGTGAAGTTGAAATCATCCCTTCGTAAATTTTACGGACACCATCAAGAGTTGGTTGACCGTTATGGAATAACCGTTTCACAGATGATATCGGATATGTTCCTTATGTCGTAACTACAATACCCTTCCCTTTTCACGAATGTGACTTACCGAATTAGACTATTTACCGGATTTGTAATAACATAAGCAACACGACGAGTCCACATGTGGAGCAGGATCTGCTTACCCTTCCGGAGCACCTGAGATCACCCCCAGTTTTTGGTGGGGTTCGTGTTGCTTAGTCTTTGGTTTTCTATGTTGTGTCATCTGTAGTATTATTTGTCTGTTTGTCTTTTTATTTTGGCCATGGCGTTGTCAGTTTGTTTTCGATCTATGAGTTTGACTGTCCCTCTGGTTTCTTTCGTCCCTCTTTCAGGACGAGAACAAATTAACAATAAATACAATAGGTATGTATGTCCTGTGATAGAGGCCGTCCGGGTTGAACGTCTGGATAATTTTAACTACCACTTAGGTTTGACTGTCCCTCTGGTATCTTTCGTCCCCCTTTTATCAGACCGTCTGTAGAGATAAGTCAAACGTCTATAAAGACATGTCAGATCTTATATAAGAGAAACAACTCGGACCGTCTTACAGACAATGGCTAGGGTTTTATTTGATCGATAAGAAGAGATATATCGAAGATAACTTGGACCGTTCTATGGGCATAACTGGGGCCGTCAATAGAGACAATTTAGTCCGTTCGGCCTAGCACAATGAAAAATACAACGATTAAATCAGAAAACTAATGTATGCTAAAACTATAAGCCAAAATCAAATATTGCATGCAGCAACCATTTATTTACAGATCGCTGACATGAACATAAAGATTGACACTTAGCACAAAAACAACTAACAAAAAGACCATAAAAACAAAGCACCAATCCAAGAGATTAGCAGTTCCTAAAAAAAATAGTTGAAGCTCAAAATGCAACTTACTAATAAATAATGTTTTTTCAGACTTTTAAAAACAATTAATATAGATCAAATGGAATTGGTGTAAAGATGTCATAAAAACAGGGGAAAATCATGACCTAGTGCGATGGAAAAATATAAGTATCGACATGGTATAGGCCAATAAATGTTCATAACTGTAAAACAATACATATTAAGCTATGTTTTAATTTATTGAAAACAAAACCAATGTTAGTAAGTATAACTCTTGCTACTTATATAACATAGATTCAAATATCATTTTATATGACACTACTTGATATTTCTTACCACCAAAGAGAAATTCCAATTCACCATAATGTAATAAAAGTTACTTTTTCTCAGATCTTTTAACACAGATTGAGTGACATAACAGTTGTCAGAATATACTTGTTTTATTTAAATAAGATTTCTAGTCGTGTTTTTATCGGAAACGGAAGTTCTACATAATTACAATTATCAACATGTAGTTCAAATTTTCGGATCGCGCAGCGCTCTAGATTGTAAGACAACTCTTATACCTTTTTGCCAAACAGTTTCATCACCTCGTCCCGGAAAGCCTTGTCGAACACCCCATATATATAAGGATTGCACAAATGATTTACCATATACATTCTCCGTAACGCTAGACAGATATGGAAAGAAACATAAGGGAGATTTTTCCAAAACTCTGGATTGTTCGTTTCTATCAATATAAATATCCAAGATGGCAAGTACGCAAGTAACCCGACAATAGAAATAGTCATGAACATGAAGGATATCCTATAAGCAAATTTACGTGGAGCTGGTTTAGTGGGATGAATGTTCTGTGCTTCAGTAGATCGAGTAGTGGTTTCCGTACTGGTTTTCATTTCGAGTGTGCATGATGTTGTAACACTTAGATTTTCAACTTTCGTTTCGACTTTTTTCATTTTACTTGTTTGTCTTATTATTGCTTTCGTTACCAACATGTATAGTACTGGTACTGTAATGACATTGCCAATTGATCCGACAACCCCGAATCCTTGATGAATCCTCAACAATGTAAGACTTATCGTGGAACCAGGAAGTTTATTGCACTGATAACCTGTAACATTACCAAGATTCGGATTTCTTATTTCTACCAGTCCACAGTAAAACAACACTGGAATGAACAGTATAGCTGTCGTCAATGCGCAAATAAATACAGAACGACGCTTCCATACCAAATTCATTTGTCGACCAAAGGGTCGACATATTTTCAAATAACGTTGTATGGCGATTATAATCAAAAGGTACAGTGAAATGCATGTAAGTACATAACATAAGTATGTTAACAGCTTACACGCTCCGAATCTCGGAAACATCACCGACTTCGAGTTCTGAGTAAGATTAAATGCCCCTGTTATTAACAATGCAGCCGTATCAGTCCAAGCAAGTGGCACTATGAAATAACGTCCATCTGTCTTCTTATTCAGACGAAACTGATATACGAATATAACTGCTAAATTGCCCGGTAGTCCAATAGGTAGAAAGATCGACAGCAGGAAAGTGTTAGGTGTTAGATATTCCGTGTTCTGTTCATTCCAATAGAGAATATACGCACGATTTTAATATCTTCTGAAATATTTCTTACATTTTCTTCCATGTTTCTTTGTAAAGATATTTTGTTGAAGACTAAGCTAAAGGCAAAATGAATGTTTACATGTATATATAAACATGTGTTCTTTTCCGTTGTAGTTTCACATTACTGACCGAAATAAGTGCCGTATAACTGAATTTGATTTCAAGTATGCAAGTCTATACCGATCGATTGGTTTCCGGTTCAATTTCCAGTTCAGATTGTTTCGTGTATCATTCTACCTGTTGTCATAATTGCCTTCTTTCCATCAAAATAGTTCAGAAAAGAAAAGGCTAGACAAACGTTAGATAATATCCAATATTCTATTAATCGTGGATACCAATTCTCGTGGTTTTCTTGTATGGCTTAATCCACGAATTTAGGTGTCAAACGAAATATAATAACTGTTGTCCGATTCCAGACATTAAAAGATCAGGTTTGACTACATGATATATGGTCATATAAACCAACGCACTATGAACTAAATATACATTTATTTTGTACAACTTCAGACTGGATTCTACCCATTTAATCTTTAAAAAATCTTAAATGTAACTGATGACATTTTAATTCTCATGAGAATTAATTTTTGATCGATGAATTTAGATTTCCGGTGATGATATTCGATAATGAAATGTTCCTTTTTTTCATAATTCTCATATGAAAAAAAATACTGATTTTATTTTGGGCTTGCTGCTTTATTTCATAATAATTAATTCTACAATTTGTAGCATTTTCGTATATGTAACCGTTTTCGTTAATGACATGTTTATGGCCCAATTAACACCTTTGATGATCGTTAATCTGAATCTGTTGCTCATTCGATCTCGAGTTAATATGTGTCATAACTTCTGATTACACGTGTGCAACAACTATAATGTTTACTCTGCATTTTCCTTCAATCGAGACAATTTGTAGGCATAGATGACTCAGCTTATTTCCAAAAGCAATTATTGTATTAAAAATATCATGAATTTTGTTAGTAATGAAAGACGAACAAGTGAATGAAAATGAACCCCTTTTTTTACAATGTCTCACAAATCATTATAAAACAACATATGATTAATATCACGAATATTCGATTCTGAAGTTTTCAAATTCGTCACTCGATTATTTTTTAGAAAACTAAAACTCACGAATTTAAGAACCCACGAACATGTAACTTTTGCTGATACCACGAAAATTGACACCCTAGAATAAAAATACTTTCACAGTATATTAAAGAAAATTGTCGTTCAACGAAGAGCATTAATTAGCGACTTGTGGTCTTTGAAGCTATATTGTAATTGTCTGACATCACAGGTGTGATAGCGTATGACAAAATTTGCATATAATATATATCTCTAACACGTATTTTTTCCAGTTTTTTTGGTAATGAATATTATAACAGAACATGTGTGGTATACATGAATAACAACTTCTAAACCACTGAAAACAAAACAAAATTAAACAAATGAACGTGTATACATGTATCTAAAGTCCAATTTTTTGCCATTAACAATGTCCAGATATCTATAGTGCGGTCGAATAACTGACCATGATTATACTTTATTTTATAAGGCAACAATGAAGGTAATGTGACTGAAATTATTATACCGTTTTTGGTTTAGCTGCGAGGAGGTAGTTTCTCTCATGCAATCACTTTAAATCTTGTTTCTTTACTATTAAAAACATGTACGTATATATAATATTATATAAATAACACATAGCTGAGAGGGTGATAGAGCAGATTGTTACCCCGAGAAAACATTGTCAACCGAGGCGAAGCCAAGGTGGACAATGTTTTTTCGAGGGGTACCAATCTGCTCCATCACCCTCTCAGCTATGTGTTATTTAATTTATTATACTGAATGTTCTATCATTATTGTCTTTTAATGATTCAATATTTTTTCTATTGAATGTTACTTAACTATGACGTCATGTTCATAACAACGTTACAGTTAAAAAAACTAAAAATTTAAGTAAAACAAGATGTGTTTTTTTTTTTGACAGTATAAAAAAGTTCTGAGGTCAAAACGTAGAAATGAAATATTGTTTAAAATTATTGATGTAAATTCGCTTCAATGTCCTTTAAATTATCGAGTTTTGATTGGTCTGCACGAGAGGGTGACATTAAAAAAAATTGTCTCCCGCTGAGCCATGGGATAGAGTAAATTATCTCCCTCGTATTAGCCAATCAAAATCTGTCATTTTAACGCGAAGTATAATAATTTTATATATTTTTTATAAAAGTAATAGCATGAAAATTGTTGTAATTTTACGTACTGAATTTGAATATAAACCCTTCAAAAACCCGAGCTTGTAGCCCGTCGTACCTAATTGTTTGAACGAAGGAGTTCAAAATTCTTTCTTCCGTAGCTTCCTGGAAACATGTAAAATTCAAATTATGTGATAATATAAATAAGAAGATGTGGCATGAGTGTCAATGAGACAACTCTCCATCCAGGTTAAAAAGTTAACAATTATAGGTCAAAGTACGGCCTTCAACACGGTCTTTGTTCGAAATGGTTTCAGTTCAATTAGTGTCCCTTTATATGCTGTTATATGCACAAGTTCCCACTTCCTTATGAACTCTTTTAAGGCAATCCAACCTTTTAAACGTTCGTTTTGTGTATCAAATTTTAACTTATAAGTCAAATTTTTTCTGCCAAAATAGAAGTCAAAGTCTGAAAATTTTTCTAAACCCCGTCAACTTATGTGATCTTTCGAAATTGGACAATGATAAGAAATTAGAAGCTTCCTATGGCCTGAATCGTTCTCCTGGCAATAGTATGCAATTTATAAAATCAGCAGCAACAGAAGCAATCAGTAAGATTGTGACCCCGTTTGATCAAGGTCCAAACAAAAGAACATTTTTGTTGAAATGTAATTTTTTACAAAATAAAACACAAAAAAGTAGAAAATTGATGATTTCCATCACTTTATTATTTATGGACTATGTGTTGGTGCTTTTGTTGTTGTTTATAATCTTCTCTATCTAATAGTTATGAAGATAACTAAGAAAAAATGGGTAAAAATAATCATCATTTATTTTAAGCCCTAGGTTTTATCATCAAATTTGCTGTTCTCATTTTCTCTTTATCTTATAAAATTCCATTGTAGCAACTTCTGTAAGTTTGTATAAGTAAATGTCGGTAGAAAAGGTTTTGTTATTTTTTTAATTTTGGAAAATAATTATCAAAATTCGCATCTTTCGACAAACAGGATAAATAACGAAATGTATTTTTATGGGCTGAAACAGTAAAAAAAGTAACGGAGAATATCTAACAAGTCTTAATTCTATATAATGTCTTAATTTACATACCCCATTCAGCGTAATATGCTATAACTGTACGAATCGGAAAATAACAAAATTACAGTGAATGGAATGAATTTGAAGAGTAAAATTTGCACACAAATAATCAGCGGTAAAGATTCAAAATTTTGCTACCTATCAGAAAATCTGACAGTCATTTCGCTCTTGTCATTCGTGGCACAAACATATGAAAAATATAATTTTACAAAAGAATTGAAGGAATCTTTTTCAATTTTGTTGGAGTGTTGCAGCGTTGGCCACGGCCAATTTTATATGAAGCGCTAACATCCTAAAATTTCGCATGGTCGACTCTTTTACAATCCTATTTACTTCAATTAAAGAAGAGCTTTAAAAAAAGATATTTATAAAAAAAATTCAAATTGATAATTTGATTTGTTTTAAATATTCACACGTATTGTTGCAACGTTGTCATGGAAAAACGCGTAGTCATGCAGTCATGATTGTTACGTTCTATTCGGACATAAAACATCAGTCTTTTGAATCACCCTATTTGTTTTTCCATTCTAAAACGATGGAATCCTATAATAACTATCTAATATAATTTTGGATATTCAAATATTTTGGCCTCGGGCATCACTGAAGAGACAGTAATTGCCGAAATGTGCATCTGGTGCAAATTAAAATAGTACCGTTAATGCTATTATTAAAAAAAAATCATACATTCATTTTGAAAGGTCTTGTCAAAAAGATGACGATTGACAATTCACCTAATAGTTTTACGTCTGTATGTAGTTACACGAAATACAATCTTAAAGAATTAGATGCTTGCAACCAGATGAAATGTGAATAACCAAAAGAAAAGGTGAAAATAAAAAATACCAGAAAAAGTACATAATTTGAAAACTGTCTTTCTGTATGCATTATTTTGTGTAGTAATATTCATTATGAAACGTCAATTTAATTGTTTTTGTCTCTTTTCCGTTCTCTCTTATTAAATATCAAAAAAGCTTCACATCAAATGAAAACATGTTGCTATATTGTTGTGATTTGTTTGAATCATAATTTCATGCGCTTAGCGAAGTAGCAAAACATATTTCACGGAGTCGGGAATACAATCTACGAAGACAGCACCCTTCCACCGATGCAGTACTTATTACTACTTATTTGTATTTTCCCAGATTGCTTCAAACGGATTGATGATGGTGATTTCCGAGAAGACTGTATTTCGAAGTGTATGGCCTTTGAAAATTAAAAGGATGCCTTCTGATCAGAAAAAAAGGGATTGTAGAAAAATTGTCACTTGAAACTGGTATCTACCCTCAGGAATAAGATTACCTTCACTGTATTTGGCAAAACCTTTCGTATTGTGGGTCTTCTGTGCTCTTCAGTTTCGGATTTAATTTTGGTTTTTAACTTTTTTTATTCGAGCGTCATTGATATGACTTTTGTAAACGAAACGCGCGTCTGGCGTTCACAATTATAATCATGGT